GTCAAACCTACACTAGCAAGGAGATCGGGCTGAAACTATAGCTACAAGCTATCCAAGGATGGTACTATAGAATGTCACCTCAAGGTAGGCCTAGTGGCGTCATCTCTTGGTTAGGCCGGAAACTTATCAATCCACCCTCGTATATCATAAAAGTGTTCGTTAAAGGCTTTCTGTATGAATTGCTGTAAACAAGGGACAAGGGTATAAGGCAAGCGTCATGAAAAGTTAGCAAAATTAGCGTGACGTAGTATACGAACAACCCTTAAGGGTTAATTTTAATAGCGTGATAATCTTTTGGACAACTTTTAGGTCTAGCAATTTACCTAAGATCTAAATTCTTCCTTGTTGCGTGTCGATAAAGTAAATGGGGCAAAGGACGTGTCGTAAGGAGGGTTCTCATCAATAAAAACGACAATGACCCGCAGTTAATTCCCTAACGTTTGTTCTTGGCTTTAAGGATTACGGTTAATGAAAAAATGACAATCTTGCGGACTATTAGGGATAACGTGGCGTCGTTTTTGGGCATCACACATCGATTGACGATTTGGTGTAGATGTTGCCAGGAATTCCGATGTCAAATTAATCTAAATAGGTATAATTAATGCCAGTCATGAGCTCTAATTATGTCTAACATTTTGGGCGACTTAAATGGCCACAATTTTATAATATACAGGGTGTTGCGTTAGTCGAATCGTTAGTTTATACAAGCAAACACATCAACATTAACAGAAATGTTTGAAAAGAAAATGATAAAATTTAAATTGTGTTTCAAATTACCTTAAAACTGATCCACAAGTTTTATCGCAGATTATGCATTTCGAAGCGACCGGTAAGTTTCCTTCCAACCATTGATGTGGCATTAGAATGGTCTGAAAAAGAATTAAAAAAATTAAGTAACCCTCTTGATTTTCCAAAGGGACAGTACCAGAGTAACTATATTCTTATTATAAAAGCTTCTTTGACTTCATTTCCTCTGAAGAAAAAATTAATATAAAAACGATTTCTTCAAAAAATTGTTGAAGATGAGTAGTTTTTAGCGACAATTGTTGAATTATAACAAATATAAAACAGGAGATGAAAAACTAGACTTCAGAGTTGGATTATAAAAGAAAAGAAATCACTTTTGTGCTTCAGATCTGATCAAATTTATAGTTTAAAGTAGAAAATAATAAACGTAGCTAGATAAACGTTTTTAAAGAGGAATATGATCAAAAAATAAAGAATGCTTTAATTTCTGTAATTATTTACCCTAGTAATTAGTAATTTGATAAATGATTAATTTTTCTTTTTGGTGTATAAAATCAAGGTCTCTAATAAAGTTCAGTACAACGTTAGAAATTCGTTAATTTTTAATAAACTGTCAGGCATTGTGACTGTATAAAATAGATCATTAATGAGAGAGTCAATTTCACAGTCAGAGCTTTTCGTACGCTACATTCGCACATTTCCATGAATTCATTTAATTAACAAATCGATAAAAGTAGAAGTAATGTTGGTATCAATCAGAAATGCAAATCATTATTTATTATATTGACGGAGCCCTAGTTACGGAGTTCCTTGAACAACTGCGAAAGTATATAGAATAAAAATAAATATTAAATGGGCGTAACTACCCTTAAATTACAAGATCATTATCAGCGGCTTTAACAAATTTTCATTATTCGATGACTTTTACAATTTAAAATGACAATTTTATGTTTTTTTGCAACCCCAACTGAATGTGATGGTATTATAAATTTGTTAAACTATTTCACGAAAGATACAGAAAATGGAAATTCGTTAATCAATATCTAGATATTATTTGTAATACTACCACACCGTTTTAAAGTACGATAAGCCATAATCTAATATAGGAACGAAATACAAATCATCATCATAAGTCGTCAGTCCCAAGACTGATTGGACACACATCTCCACTCTTTCATATCCTGAGCTAGTCTTCGCATTTCCCTAAAACTAGAACAACCCACATCTCAACCAACTCTCGTTTCTGTCTCTAATATGATTCTGACTAGACCTTTATGCCGGAGAAGATGTACTGCTAACCTATCTCGCCTATTTCCTATTGACTTTTATTGAGTCCTCTGTTCTCCTATCCTTTCTAATAACTTTTCATTTCTAACTTTCTCTATCCACAGTATTCTCATCACTCGCCTGTAACACCAGATTTCGAACGCTTCTAACCTTTTCTTTTCTGTCGCGCCCACTGTCCAAGTTTCGCACCCGTACAGCGCCGCGCTCCATATATACAGCTTTAACAATCTTCGAAATCGAAAATACCACAAACGGCGTGGTGAGCGTCATCTGTAATAGCTCACCACGCCATTTGTGATATTTTTTAAAACGCGCTGTTAAGACAGCAGGTAAAGGTTGGTCTGTGTTCTGTCAGAGCTGCCTGCGACGCCCTGATGAGATCCAATAAAATCGAAATCGCGATCAGCGTCTGGCAGTTTCGACAGAATACAGACCATTTCGAATTATTTTGTTCGAAATCGAATTTTTAAATTAATCGTTCGCGAGCATAGAAATGACTTCTTTTTATTGAAGGCGACTCGACCCTGCGCTATGATCTGCTTTATGTCCCTAGTACTCCTTCCGTCCTGACTTATCTGACTTCCTAGAAACGTAAAATGGGCCACTTCTTCTAATTTTTCGTCTTCAATCTTTCTCTACTTTTTCTCCCTTGCATAGCAATGCTTTTGTTTTACTTTTATTTATTTTCATACAATACTGTTTTATCAATACCGCTTCCATTTTATTTAAAGCTATCTCTAACTTTTCCCAGCTATATCATGTGAAAATCCAGAGATACAAATGTAGTTAATAATAAATTTTATGTCGAACTTAATGTTCATGAATAGATAATGTTTTTTCCATTCACTTGTATCAGAACTTATATCAATAAAGTACGCGATACTAAGCAATAATCTATCAGTGATTTAGGTCAGGTAGAATGTCTTAAAAGTGCTCTAACTGAACTCGTCTGAAACCGATTACGTTCTACATTATGTACTTACCCCATCGCTGTCTTCAATTATGTTTTCTTTTCCAATAGAAGCGAGCGTGGTCCATTTGCAGTTGTTAATTGCCTTTGCGGCGCATCTCTTATGAACTTTGAACTTACATACTTCACAACTAAGGCCGTGGCTTGTGACCCCGTTCAAGGCTTCGCGACACACATTACAAAAAGTAGGCCGAGCATGTGATGTTGCATACCTGTAATAAAAACCCTCTTTTATTCATGTCCTTCGAACATTTTATGGAATAGAATGTGAATCAAAGTTGATTGCTCTTTTTTTTTCGTTTCATTTCGTTTCGTTACTTTAAGGTGTCACAGCGGATGAATAAAACTTTTCAATTTTTTTTTTATTTATTACCGCAATTTGATGCGATGCGATATGCTGAAGTTAGTAACAGATGAAATAGAAGTCGGCGTTTGTTTGTTGAACTAACGAAAACAATGTTATTGTTGGATAGAGTTCTTTTTGAGGTTGAAACTTTCTCATTTTGGCACGTCAGCTACAGATATTGAAACTAGAAAGTTTGTTAGAATCAAAGTTTACATCTGACCATTGATTTTACGTATCCATGTGAACAGTCCGTTCATGATCGTGCTCAAACTTTAAACTCGAGTTATGATAAATTGCTCATAAAAACGTCACACCAGATTTAAGTTGACGGCTGTGATGATTTTTACAAAAAGCTCAAGAAAACTCTTCTTTTAATATAAATAACTACAAAGGTTTTACAATTTTTTTTTTGATATCAAGAAGAAAGTGTCTTTCATTTATTATGCCTTTTATGAATTATACAAACGGAGAAACAGAATTTCCGGGAAATCCTTTATGTACTATAGCAGACCCTTTTACTTTGATAAATTGTTCATTTTTCGGTAGTGACTGGTAATATATAAGGGACATAACACATAGGAAAGAAAAGGTATTTATTATTATTATTTGTCAGTTTCGTAATTCAATTAATCTAAACCCTGATTAATAATATAATGTGTATTTCTGTTTGCTCCAATACATAGAGACTACGGAACATCATCATTACCACTAGACATGTTCAGAATTCATCGTCATTTTTTGAGTTATCTCCCGTTTATTTAGATTCATGTTTTGATTATTATTTTGCGGTTTACCCACCATGAGCCAATGGGTGCAATATTGAAAAATGTTCAATTAGAGCACGGTAGCCAAGGATATCGCTACCCATTGATAGTTACAGTAGCCTAATGCGACCCAAAAAACGTTCCCCGTCCCTCATCGGCTTGAGGTTCTAGAGGGTGTTACAGGGAAGTAATTACAGCATATTCTTGTAATGTATTCTAAACAAAGAATGACAATGAAAGTGAAACGGAGGAAGTACATGGCCTACCAAGAAAAACTAATATTTACTTCTTTCGACAGGAGGAGTGGGTACTCGTTGTCGATGACGATGCGATGCCGTGCAGAAACGGTGCATGATACACGAACGAGTGGTAACTTATATTTTTTTACTCACAGTATAATAGGTAAATGGGGAGTCGCTTACGAGACATATATGTATGTATCTAATGTACAAAAGAGAATTTTAAAATTTATTCTTAGATAATGTGCACATTCTGTTGCCAACCGAGAAGTTGTTAAGGGAAAATGGTTGATACAACAATCCAACCCAATCCAAGTCAATCCTGCGCAACCTATGCTAGCCTAGTCTAGTCTAGCATAACATAACCTAACCTAACCTAACCTACGATCCTTTTGGTGCGAGTCTAAATCCAGACAGCTGAGCAGCCAGAAGGATCCCCCACCTGGAGCCCCCGCCCTCATATCTACCAGTCTCCATTACTGGTCAGAATCCTCTTCCCAGTCGGATTACTTGGACTCCGGCACTGGTAGGACATCTCGGGTTCGTGGTATCGGCATTTTCCTTTAAAGCAGAGACGAGCAAACTCGGCTCTTTTGACTCCTCAGCCTAGGAGCTCCTCATTGCTGCTGACAGTGCCAGTGAGATGAATCTTTCCTTTTCTTATCTCTTCCATTTCGTAGGTACCTTTTTCGTTGGCCGAACCCAATAGTACTGCGACCGTAGTTCGGCACGCTACCCCTGACTTGTATCGCCCGCAGGTATCGCCAGGTTCGACACCTTTCAACCCAGCGGCGTGACTTAGAAGTTTAGTCCATTGGTTAGCATTCGGAAGGAAACCAGTTCGATTCTGGGTCCGTCTGTCTTGATCCAAGTTTTTCTGTGGTTTCCTTGGATCACTTAGGTAAATACTTGAGCAGTAATATTCCACAGATAATCGTTCATTTTCTTCTGTCTTCATTTCGTCCGTCTCATCTTTCTCACCCTTTCCGGCGTAGTCCGGAGGAACATTCCACCCACTACCATTAGTGGCTGGTGGGAATGAAACACCCAAGAGTTTTTCTTCTTTTAGGTACTGTATCGACCCTCACAACTGCCCAACTCCCTGTCCAAACGTTCGGAAGGCAATCACACCTATTTGTTAATATTTCATTTAATCACAATCATGAACCTCCATTGAAATTAGCAACATCGATTTAGTATTTAACCCTTTTATACTCATAGCAAATAAAGTTTAAATTCACTTTTGTTTGCACCATCTGGTAGGGTTTAAACAAATGCTAAGACGTGCTTTATCTCTTCCAGTTATGAATATTTATCAAAGCCGATGTAACATGATTAGCAATTTAATTGAAGTCGATTTCATTAATATTGATGCGGCTCATTGTAACATTAGCTTTATTCTGTCACAAGTGAGTATAAATTAAAATGAATTAGCATATCGCCACGTTGAAGGGTAACACCTGACGCGTGTGGGTGTACAACATCTTTTGCTATTCGCCATGGCCTCAGAAATTAATAACAGAAGCGAGGTACAAAAAGCTGTGCTACTTAAAATTATTAAAGTATCTTTTTAATGATTAAAGTTGTAGAGGGAAAGCCGCTATGTAGGAAAAGTGTAAGAAAACGGCTTGGATATTGCCGAAATAACTTAAGTACTCTTGCAAAGTAAAGGCGCGTGCTAATCATGGATACAGGACTATTTATATTTTTAGAAAGAAAGGAGCCAGGTCCGTAGCCGGGAAGTTTTTCTCATATACATATACTTCAGCCCCTTTAGCCCCTTGAGCCTCCCGATAGCCACCTGCTTAATATTCGTTTAAATTTTGTAAAAAGGTATTATTTATATTAAATTTCTGATAAATGTGATGATTAATAAAAACAAAAGAAAACTCCTAAGTACGTTACCACTGTAATCCCTTTTCTTAAAAAACTTCATGAGCGCCTTATGTTACGTCTTGACAAACTTCCATTTTCTAAAAGATTAATTTTGTTTCGAAAAGATGTTGTTATGAAATAGTTCTTGCGTTTGCCAAGTGTCAAGTAAAATTTTAATCAAGCTGTCTATAAAGTTCAGATCTCCGTCAAGAATAGTAATCTCAAAAAAGGACAGTTTTTTATTTTGTTATTTAATTTGAGTGTTTCTGAGAAACAAGATAATATCAATTTATAAAATCTTTATTTTCGAATGTAGTCGATTGGAAGAAAAATAATAAATATTTTATACAAATATATCGGTGATGATTATCCTTAAAATTAGGGCTTTTATTTTAAAATATTTATTGGATACTAACAGGATTGTTTTGGTTGACGAAAGTCTATAGGCATTAGACCAAACAACAAATCTTTATTTATGTGTGAACTTTTATGTCTTGGTTTTATAGAAGATGTCAGAATATCTAATCAAGTTGAGCACCGCGTAAGTACACATTTACGTGGGATCACAGGTCAAAGTAAAAATGATAGTTAACGAGATATCGATAAAAAAAAACAGGTGTTGATGACCTCTGGTCACGTATAAAATTTTTATGTTGGTTCGATCGTTTGGGACGTCTGACAATAGGTTTAAAACAGTGGTTCCTAGCCCTTTTAATACTGTTACCCCTGTGATCTATTAGGAAAACTGATTTTACCCCGACCTTAACATGTTATCAATACAAACAATACAAGCAAATACAAATAGGTGGCGGCAAAGGGTATGGGCATTTTTAAAACTATGTTAGCTAAAGCAGGATATTCGGCACCAGATTTTCGCCAAAACACGCTAAAATCGTAATTTTGAAATTCCACTCTGCAAGTAGTATCTTGTTTGGTTCGATATTTACCAATTGTGCATACAGTTGTATAAACATCGACACATCTATAATTTATATTTTTACTATCTAGCTACGTATTTTATTACATTAGTCACTTCTATGCTCGTGAACGGTTAATTTAGAAATTTGTAAAAGGTTGTTAAAGGTGTATGTTTGGAGCGCAGCGTTGTACGGGTGCGAAACATGGACAGTAGGCGCGGTGGAAAAGAAAAGGTTAGAAGCCTTCGAAATGTGGTGTTATAGGCGAATGATGAGGATGACGTAGGTAGAAAAGGTTAGAAATGAAGAGGTATTGGAAAGAATAGGAGAACAGAGGACTCTATGGAAGTCAATAAAGAATAGACGAGATAGGTTGGTAGGACACCTTCTCAGGCATGAAGGTCTAGTCCGAGACATATTAGAGGCAGAAACAGGATTAGGAGGGGTAGAGGTAGACCTAGGTTAGATTACTGTTCACAAATAGTTAAAGATGTGGGTTGTTCTAGTTTTAGGGAAATGCGAAGTTTAGCTCAGGATAGGATAGAGTGCAGGTACGTGTCCAACCAGTCTTAGGACTGACGACCCTATCATGATGATGAGGTCTTAATTATTATATTCTTTGTTACCTCCACAGAATTATTGATTTACCCTCGCGGGGGTAATTACCCCCAGGTTCGGAATCACTGGTTTAAAACCATAAAATTAGAGTTTATAATAAAATGTATGACTTTGTTTACAGTAAGATTCTTGACTCTGGGTTTGTCCTGCACCAATCTTTTGTTAACGACGCAACGACTTTTTGGATGGGGACAATATAGGTATTTTAAACCAAAAGAAATCTATCTATGTCAGGAAAGTCCCAAAAATGTCCCGCGCGTTCGAGAACGAAACGTCGATGCGGTCGGTATAAATTAATGAATCCAAAAATTCTGTAGTGTAAGAACTTCTCTTTTGTGTGATATAAATTGATTCACTATCATGTATACCTACAATAAAAGCAAATAAATAAAAAACATTTGTCACTGTCGGCTATAAATCACTTTGCCAATTTCAGGGCGACACAACAACAAG